TGTGTGTGTGTAAAAAAAAGAGTGAAAAGAACAATTTCTTCTAGGAGATTAATAAAGTATATCTTCTTCTTCTTCTTAAAAAACTAAAAACAACATATCTATCATCCACAAGCACATTTCACAACATCTAAAACACCTCTCTCAAAACAAACAAGAACATATACACATATACAATATAGAGATGCTGAGTATGGACCATTGAGGAGCATACCCATTGATAATATTGTACATATGCAGCAGCTTCTGTTGTTTTACTTTGAGGAGTACTGACAGCAACTTTAAATTCATCACTACAACCAAGGGGATACAAGTATATAAGTCTTGTTCTGCAAAATAAGAACTTAAGTTTGCTGACACACTTGGATAATATCTTACCAATATTATTCCTAAATACAAGACACTTGTCTCAGAAACAATTTCAGCTCCATTACAAGACACTTTTCAATTTGTTCTTGACAGCTTCTTCTTTGTTCCAAACAGGACTGACTCGGTTTTACCCAAGTGTATTGAAAGCTTATTTTCTGAGAGCCACTGTTTCATGCTTTTTAATTCATTACTGGGTGTTCTCAATCTCACTGACATCATTCCCAGATACCACTAACGAGGAATCATCAGCATACAACAAGAACTTACATGTTATGGCTGCTGGCATATTATCTACATCTGATTTACAATTTTTCTTAAAAAGGGGAACAATCCTAGCTCTTCAGTTCCCAGGGAGAATAACCCTGACTTATAAGATACATTTACTAAATGAGTAACTGCACTAGAAATTACACTGGCACTATCCCGCAGAAATCTGGCTAGAATAAGATTGTTTGTGGGCAATGCAGCTCGACACGCTCTTAACTTTTCCACTGAGACAGGACTTATTATATTACTTATATACATTTTAAAGAATTTACGGATGACAAACCATATCTCCCTGAACCACAGGGTAATTTAGCAGCAATGCTCGTAAACAAATCATTAAATTAGCTCGCAACATTCCCTTTATCAAAACTACTCATGTCCTCAGACCAATATTACCAGATTTTATTCAGGACTTCTGCTGAGCCCATTTCGTTAAGTACTTTTCATAGTTTTTTGGCTTGTGTGAATTTTCAGCAATGGCATCCACATAAAATTGGGACTTTGAGTTATCTATCCAATATCTGACTTGATTTCTAAAAAATATATATCATAATCAACTGCCTCAAAACATTCACAAAACACAGACCATGATATGCACGTTTCTTTATTTCATAAAGAGAAATGGTGTCTAGACAAAAAAGTAATTTATAGAACACTAGCAATTGAAATGAATGAAAGTGGGGTTTGCACAATACCGTATTTACAATGATTATTAAGTCATTTTAATTCATTAGGGTCATGTAGCATTTAAAAATTATAAAGGTAAGAACTCTTAGTAGAGAATAAGCAAATAACAGCTATTCCAAATTGACAATATTAACACAAAACAATCATCTAGAAAAATGAAAGAAAAAAACAACAACTTGAACTACAAGCTTAAGAGCTATTACATTAAAAATGATGCACCAAAATCTACTAATACAATAATCCATATAATCTGTGTAAAAAGCATGTAGAAAAAACACCTGATGCAGTTTGCTGATACAGTCATTGACCAGTTATGAGAGGTATGAAGGATTTCACAGGTAGATAAGTGTGAGAAAGTCCGCACTGGTGACTCAGGGATGGGGGCCCAGGGCCCTGCATACACTCACTTCACTTGAATGTGAACTATGGCCTCTGCAAGTTCTAAGGCAAATATCGGAGGTGCACTTGTATCCATGTAATGCTGACCCATCCCGAAAGTTGGATTAAAGACAAGGTGAGGAAACTCATTCTTTGTCTCTTTACACAACACCAAGAATCAGTCCAATTGAACCAAGCGTCAATTTTACATGGCAAATTATCAAACATGACATGACACCTATTTGTAAACATTTTTCATTTTTATATTTTACTCGATGATCTCAGCCTGCGCTTTCAACCAGGATACCAGATTTATTTTTTTTTCAATAAAGTTGAGCAATCTGTGAGAAAGGCATGTTTTTGTTCATATTCTTTTACAGAACAACCTTTGGAGTTGAAAAGCCAGTGTTTGTTTCAGAGAAGCAGCAACAAAAAAAAGAGTTTAACTAAACAAGACAAATCCACAGCAAAATGGTAACGAGCATTCAATGAACAGAGTTACAGCGAAACTTAAATCAATCTGCTGCAATGGCCACAACCAAAAAGAGTTTGGCCGGCACAAAGTAACCTGGAGGATTCCTCATATCTAACTATTTCATTTAATTTTCTATGCATAGAATTATTACTGTTACATCATTTAAAGCTGCACTAATCAATATTTGTATCTGAACAATGGATCATGTGTAATGTGATAGGTGTTACTCGTAGTGACAAACCAGTAGAGAATTTGTTTGTTTTTGGTTTTAAAACCAGGGAATTCATTTCTAGCAGCTTTTTTTAGCAACAACAAAAAAAGCCTTAACAAACTCATTGTACGCTACCTGCCTAGCACCAAACAGCACAGATACAAAGTTAGCATCTATCTGGTGAACATAGTGGAGCCTTTAGCAGCTAAAGAGTCAGATCTTTTTCTCAGGGGGAGTTTGAGGCCAACACAGAGTTAAAAAAAAGTCAATACTGGTCATTCATCAGATGGAAACAAACAGCTCTCCAACTGAATGCTAATGCTGCTCTCTGTCGGCTTGATGTGTAAGCAGGCAACTGTTTGCTAATTTGTTAGGTGACAATATGACAATGTTGTGTTAACTGATTACTCTGCTGCCCCCAAGTGGCTTAAAATCAATGAATGCAGCTTTAAGTGACATTAACAATTAATTTTAGGGGACATTTTATTTGACTCTCGAAGTAAAAAGAAAAGTAAAAAAAAGAAAGGCAGAGGTCTGCTTCAGAGTGATACAGAGAGCATGTTCAAATGATTGGCACCCTGAGACACTAAAGGGTCAGTTCACCCAAATTACAATATATATATATATATGTATATATAAATTATATAATTATATTTGTTTATTGCCAATTTATAACAGAAGTTATCTCAGGACACTTTTTATATAGAGCAGGTCTAGACCATACTTCTTCATATATATATATATATATACACACACACACACACACATATATATGTGTGTGTAATAATTAATTGAAAACGTAATTACCTCTGCTGGTATCTAGACAGTCTGACACTGTCTAAGATTTCTGCCACCAGCCTGATAGAATGGACCTGAATGGAATTTCAATTATATTAGTTTTCATTAAAATAACTAAAAAAAACTAACTACAAAAACTGTTCACAGTAAGTGATTATCCAAAGCAAAAGGACACTACTTCTGCAAGAAGATGCTACATTTTACGACACTTTACAACCAAAACTTTGTTTTTGTACATTTGAGTGAGCTGACCCCTTTAACAACAGTTGACCTGTTGGAGATGCTGACATGAACTCATCTCACCACTTAAGCTGAGGGTGTTACTGTGCTTTGAGCAAACAGTCAGTGTTGGAGCAATGCAGCAAGACCTGAAGAGGTCAGAAGTTCTGGACAAAAAGCTTTTCAGGGGCGGCCGTTTATTGTATCTTTCATCTTAGCTCTGCAGGAATTGGAAAGGTTGTCAGGTTGAATTATCAACATTCAAAATGTGTAACAGAAAGTCTGCAATGCAAAAACAAGAATGTGATCATTGCAGTATTATTAGGACATGTGAAAAGACACCCAGGGTCCTTTGTTACAATAGTTTTGCTACACAACTTTTCTCCAAACAGAAAAACAAAGTCAAGAGTTGGTGCTTTCCAATGCAACACCTTAATGTAACATCAAGCAAATAAAAAAAGTACATGAATAGAAAATGAGTTGCATAATGTTTGCAGAAAAGAAGCTTCTGGTATAATGTAGATGATTCCACTTGAGTTTTCTGGCTTGAACCTGGTAGAATCTCCACATGGTAAATACTGTTTCGCGTACAAGAATGAAAAAGCACAAATAGGAAAACGGGCTGAATCACGGCCGCACGCAGGCTGTGCCCCAAGAAACGCATGTACTGTGGGCGTTCTGTATTCTGTATCACGTGTGTGTGTGCATGTGTTTGTGCATGTATGGGTCTGTATATTCTACAAAGCAGGGACCGTTCTTTTAACAATTAAAGTACGGGTTCATAAAATACAGTTATACTCTGTTCGGCTGAAACAGCCTCACGTGTGAGATCATATTTTAACTACATCTAAAAATTACATTGGTTAAAGCGAGGGGGAGAACTTCAAGAGATATCATCCAAACTTTAAAGCCCCAATCACAGGTTAACTAGTTTTTATTGTTTGGTTTTTGGCCAAAGAAATTGTTAGAATTTAACATTTTTTAGCTTCAAAATGACCTTTGTTTCAGCCTAGCTCACTAACACTCCCAATTGACCTGGCTATGGGGTTTACTATCCACATTTTTAGATTTACCTATTATAGAAGGTTGTATATGGTATATATTTTTTATATACACCTTCTATTAATATTGGAACCCTTTGTGACTTTAAGTAAATGTGTCCATTAAAGGCTGCTGAAGTATGTTTAGAGGTTAATTTTGCTTCAGTTTAATTTGAATTAGTTATGTGATACTATAAAAAGGGGGTTTCATGTCATGAAATGAATGACGTCACCAGCTCAAGATAGCAGCGGCCAACAGTTACAATGACATATTTTGGTTGGTTAAACTTCATGGAAGCTGTAGTTGTGTGCATGTTAACAAAATCCTGGTTGTTTAGCTTTTTTTAAATCACAAAGGGTTTGCATTTTTAATAGCAAGTAAGATACTCTTTTTGAGTGAGGATAGTAAACTTCAGAAAGAGTGTGGAAGAAATGCTCAATGAGAGATAATGCTGAGCTACAGAAACTAGCCTAGAGGTGACGTCAGCTTCAGCTCTCTATTAAGCTAACAGGGAGCGCCATTTTGGATTGGGGCTTTAAAGAGCAATGAATAAAGCGTCACATTCCAATTGAATTCAACCTTTGCACTAGAGTTCTCGCACATGAAGCCAGCCTCTAGTGAGGGTTGAGATAATTCAGCTTCTTTATACATTGAAATTTTAAAAATATCATTTTAAAAGCAGACTGCTCCAGAGAGAACTTACAAGGCAAACAGAAGCTAGAAAAAACTAACTAGGCTCACAGCTATAGGCAGCATGCATGCACATCACAGACTGGGATGTTCAAACAAATGCACAATTAGGGCAAAACGTGTTACTATCTTATATGATTGTTACTTAATCATTTGGACAAGACATAAACCCTTTTCACGTCAAATGAAATCTGAATTAGCTTATTCAATTCCTAAAGAAATACAAATATAAGGTGTGAACAATCTTATACTAAAGCATTAACTTCCTTTTGTGTTTAGGTTTCAGATACATCTTTTTCATAGGGATATTTTATTGTATATAATCATATCCACATGATGTTTCCTTTTGAAGGGCCAATTTAAGTGCTCCCGTCTAATACTTTTAAGGGGTCTGAAACAAAGACAAAGACCCTCATTGAAGTGCTAAATGGCTCTGAGCGCTTGGGGCCAGAAACAAAGTGCCCGAATAAAGTTCATTTATTTTCCTTTGTCAATAGGTGTTTCGTTTTTTTCAGGATCAGTTTGAAAAAAATGAAAGTTAACTTGGATGTTGGCTGTGCTCTGTTCTCTTTCCCTCGAACATCAAACAGCAACACTGAAGAAAACCAAAGCGTGTCTGCGAAAGTGTACACAAATAGCGTCTTTAAATACTGATAAGAAATAAGATTTCCTCCGAAAAAACACAAGGCAGAACTCTTTTTTCACATTTAAAGAGGAGTCAAAGGTGGAGAGGATCTGGCTTGAGCCTACGCGTTAAAAACAAGTCTTGAATGTCTAACTTTTATACATGCATGGGTCTCAAAATTCTACGTGTGTGTTGATGCGTGTGTCTGTATGTACTGTATAAGTGTGTCTACATGTGTGTCAAGCTGATTTCCTGAGTATAAGAACACCCGCCATGATGGGGAGTATTCGTTAGGCAGGACAGGAAACAGCAAAGCAAAGATTTTTTTTTCCCTTAGCAAAAAGGTGCTTGATATAATCCCGGTGAGAAAGAAACATCTAAGCCTCTACCTGTACAAAATCACTGTTACAGTCATCATGCTCCATACTATTTACATTTGTGCCAAACAAGCACTTGAAAGTCACCAGTACAACATCCAAATACAATGGTATTGCTGATGAGTGGAAAATAAAAAATAGCCATTTAACCGCCTGCAAAGACTTTTTTTTCTTCCTTTCAATTCAGTGCTGAGGAAGGCAAGGAGGAATGTTTTCGGTTACAGCCTGTACAAAGTTCTCCTGTACAGAAATACAAATGCGAGACGCTTGAAGACATTTTTGCATATGAACATTTTACAGCCTAACTGCATCATTAACTCCCTCACGTACAGAAGCTGTATTCTCATTTTTTAGGAATTGACCCTTCCTAAGTACCGCCCCATTTTGCTATGTGCTCCAATAACAGTTGAGCAAGCCTCAGTCAGAACCTTTGTCACTTTTCTCCTTCCCTGTACTTAGATATGCTATGTGCTAGGCTAATTTATGTTTAAATTGACAACCACATTTTGATAATTGTTAAAAGATAAAAATTAGATATATATAGATATAGTGCACACCAATCATTAGCTGGCTAGGTAGCTAGCATGCTACACAGTAAACCACTAGCTAAGTAGCTAGCGGTTTCTACATTAATTGTTAGCTAGCTAACTTAGTTACATCTGATAACTAATGTTAGCAAAATGGAATCTAATTAGCTAGCTAACAATAGATGAGCAACCTATTTATCAAGTGTTTTGCTAACATTAGCTAACTTAGACTTTAGCAATACTGTAAATGTTGCTTTTATCTTTAAACCTTCTTTTAAATATGGTTATCTTTTCAACATAGACTAGCCTAGCACATAGCATAGCATAACTAAGTACAGGAAAAGAGGAAGTTGACTGAGGTTCCAAAAGAGGTGGGACTTAGGCAGGGTCAATTAGATTGAACATTCAGAGGATATTTTATTTTATTTTCCTGAGTTTGAATTGCTGTGACGAAAAGGGCCACTGAGATATAGTGAGAGACGAACCACAGACAGAGAGAGAGAGAGAGAGAGAGGGACAGAGAGAGGTAGAGAAGATTGATAGAGACAGAGTGGGAAAAAAAGAGAAGAGGAAAATGTGAAAGAGGAAGGCAGGAACAAAGATACTGTTGGTACACAGGGAGACAAAGAGAGCTGCTGTTTAGGTCCGATGAGGTTCAACTATGAGTTGTGATGTGTGATGACGTGGAGAACAGAGTCTCCACTGTAAAGGTTGCTGCCGGGGAGAGTATAGCACCATTGTAAGGGTTTGGTGAGAAGTTCCCCACTCTGTCATGGTAAGAGGAGAATACCTGGAGAACAGTATTGCTGCTGTTAAGACAACTTTAGTGTCAACCGTTCCAAAAAAAAAAAAAAAACACAGCACAAAAAGACATAAATACAAACAAAGCTTGTTTATCAGTGAACACTGGCGGAGGCTGACCGTCTCAACAACCCGAGAGAGGGGTTTGTCAGAAGAGTAAAATTAAATAATAAAAAACAACACAGAGAACCACCACTACTTAGTAGAGTCCTTCCTTGGCTGCTCGTCAGTTGTACATTTCTCAGTCATTTCCTGGCAAAAATCCACTGTTACCGTCTGGTTGGATTTTTCCACGGACAGCCCTGACTTTGTGTACAAGCTGGTGTCCTGGCCGTCCGTATCTCTGTTTCCCCCGTTCCTGACGGCTGAGTCGGGCTCGCTCTCTGAGGGGCCGGGCGACCCGTGTAAGCTGGGCTCCGGTGTGGCCGAGCCCGAGTGGGTGGTGAGGTCGATGCTGGTGGTGGTGGTGGTGGTGGTGGTGGTGGTGTTGGCGGCGGGGCTGGAGGCAGGCTTAGGGTGGTGGGCGGCGTTGTTGCTGGCAGTGGAGTCGGCGGGCCGCAGCACGGGGCAGTAGTGGTGTAAAGACTGGACCTGCTCGGGGCTCAGCTGGACGTCTCTGCACACCTCCTGCGACAGGCAGGAGAAGTTCTCCCACAGCTCGCCCATACACGCCTTCAGCTGGTTCCTCTCCATCAGCAATTTCTCCTTCTCACACACCTGTAGACACACACACACACACACACACACAGAAT